TGCGTTGATAGATCACTATGTCAGTCAGTCAGTCACCTTTGAGTTTTATATATATAGATAGATACATACAAGAAGATTAACACATCGTTACGTTATACATATTTATGTTAGACAAATTCTTTTGAAGAGCAGGTTCTGGTTCATACACGTTAAATTTGTTAATAGCAATCGTATTTCGCGATAGGCATGAGCTGCCTTCCTTCGTAATCGTAAGCGGCCAAACAAACACCAAGTCTCATAGAACGCACGAATAATCTGTTTACCTATTAAAAGCGATCGAAATTTGGCTTCCAAGTCAGCAGAAGGATTTTTTTATTTAGTCAGAAAATATGTAACGTTATTATTACGCATAATGGTTGCCGTAAAATAATTTATATTTTGGAAAATGCATCTTTAATAAATCAAAAACAAGGAATTTCCCCCAAGTGCTAGATTAAGTTTTAATCTATCTTATTCTTGAATTAGTTAGAAACATTCTTCATTATTTACCCGAATGCCGAAGAAAGGAGGGAAATGCACTTAACATTAAGTTTCAAATCATGTGTTACTTCCCAATGAGAAACAATAATTGATGTTATAAACTAAATCAGTGTTCGTTGGCACCCAGTCGAAGTTCTATGAAAATGTCACCGACCGATACTGACAACAGAGCGTGCGTCATATTCATATCATTCATCTTAACCACGACTAATATGGTAATGACATAGTCCATCTTCAGTCTGTACCCGTGTGAGTAATACCACATTCCTCGTTCACGGCACTCCTGAGTTGACAATATTGTGTAAGCATTTCGATGCCACTTAACTCCTTGGTTGCAGCAAAACAATTTACTAACGAAACAGATGTATAAATAAATGGCATTAACGGCACGACAGCGATCTTCAAATTGTGAAGGACCAAGGACGAAGCCGGCAACGCTAAATGAAACCACTATGGCGATAAGGAAATGACGCCATTAAGCAGACCTACTTTCGCTGGCCCTTGTGGGTAGTTCAAGTGGAGGTCAAACCTTAGTATTCTCATACGTGCACTACAATCACACTAATATTATAAAAGCGAAAGTTGGTGAGCGTGTATGTTTGTTACGTCTTCAGGTCTAAACGGCTAGAGCGATTTTAATAAAATTTGGTATGTAGTTAGCCGACACCCTGGATTAATATATAGGCTATGTTTTACTGCGGGAAAATATCTCTAACGGGTAACATCGCGGGGCACAGCTAGTATATAATAATCTCTGCTTGGGATCTGATTTTCGAAACCTTCGTGTGTAATCGTACGTCCCGGAACCGTCTAGATTCTCTAGAAGCGTATTATTGGTTACGTGTGCGCGGCTCGGTTAACGAAGTTGATTCAACTTCGTTAACATCAATAATAGAATCAACATCATTTCGGTGTTCGCATAACTACCTTAATTTGTAATTATTGATAACGAAAGCGTACACATGAAACAAAAAATTGAAAAAATAACAATTATAGTACTTTACCCACCGTGTTGGAACTACACCTTACACACAAAGATGTTTACCGAAACCTAAGCCTGTGTCGTACCGTACCAGCCGTACGACTGTAATTTACAAGATGCACCTGTATCTTCAGTCTTCTCCGGTTATTATTACGGCCGGTTTTACTTAAAAAGGTAACTGGTAGGTAACTGGTAATGTTGAAAATTAATGGCTAAGTTTATTTTATCTTGTTTGTTTCGCTAATATCAAGAACTACTGGTTCAATATGAAAATAAATTCAGGTTTGATAGTTCATTTATCGCGGGCTTTACACTATATTTAATTACTTTACAATTAATAAGAGCACAGTAACAATGAAAAATGTTGCGAAAACGGGAAAGATATACAAGTTAAAGTGAGCGTTAATGTGATACAACGAAGGTTAGGACAAAGCACATCTATCTGTTCCTGAGAGAGGAAGATTGATTTCCGGTTGCAAAGCTCTTCTTGAGGCTTCTCTTTCATCGCCTAACATTCTTCAGTCGCTGTTTGCATGCCCTTTGATTTATAATTCTAATCACCGAAGGGGCTTATAAAAAAAAACAGTAAAATTTAACTGTGGCAACACTCCTTGTCTGTGAGAACTTGTCTTCTTTCCTTGTATTTTGTGTGTGCTTTATTACTACGAAAAAATAAGATTTCGAGTGAATATTGTTTAGTTGAAGAAGGCCATAATCTGAACAGGGCTTCCTAAGATGGAACTTACTAAGATAATAACTTGATTGATCGTTGAAGGCTGTCCGAGAGTGCCTCATTCGAGGTCTCCAAATAGATGCGCTTCTTTACTAAAGCGTCCACACATTTAAATATTTTAATATCGTTGGTCCAAACCGACTGAGATTTAATTACTGTTTTAAAATACGAAAAAATCTTCCAACAATATGTCCTGTATAAACTAGCACTTAAAATAGATCTGATGAATCTACTATTTAGGATCATAAACACAGCAAACAGACATTCTAAGACACACCTGCCACAACTGCGTAGAAGCTGCGTATTTTTTTTGCACATATCTTTACATACACAAACATATAAAAGCTTTATGTACAAAAGACACATACGTACGTACATTGGTCTCGTATGATTATATAAAAACGTCTCACCTCGTAAATAATATTTTGGCTATAGTCGAAATAACACAGCGATAACTTTTCTCATTCACAACATTGATGTAAGGTAATGTAAACAAATTGATTACATGGAGAACAGTTTAAAAACACTGCACTGTAAGATACTAAATTACATAACATGTCGATATCATTTCTTTTATCTTAACAAAAACAAAAGCCGATTAAATTAAACAGCTAAAAGTTAAATAATCCAATTTTAATTCCACTTACGTAAATCGGCGACTATTAGTGAAAAATTTAAACGCCGTGATAGGTAGGTCAAGTTCCCGTTGCCCTCGTTTGGAAAAGTGGGGTTTCGTGACGTCATTGATGCAAGCAGTTAATTTAAAGTCCGATAGGCGGGTCAAGTTCCCGGTGCCCCCGTTCGGTTCGGAAAAGCAGGGTTTTGTGACGTCATTGTTGCAAGCAGTTAAATATAGACAAACTTAGTAACCCCGCCGCGCCGCCGGGTGACCCAGTTGCGGGGTGCGTTACTACAGCCCCACGAGAGCAAAATGGAAATCTGGACATAAGCCATCAATGAACGACAAGTAAATTGAATTAATTATTATGTAAAACACCTGCAGGCCTACTCTATTTCAACGAAAACCGAAATTTCGCACGTTCCTTACTCTGTTTCCTTTTCATTTCGAAAATTCGTTCGTCCAAAATAGTTTTACAATTAAATTCTCCAAGCCTACTCTAATTCACAAAAAGTTGAATTTGACAGATAATTGTTCGAAATTTTAACCTCAAATTGACGAAATGAAGTGTTACCTTTTCATTTTCGTTATGAGATTATTGTTTTAATTAAGCCTAAAATACTTGCAAGAGTATTTTTAATAATAGCTGCTTAGCTCGAGAAACATTTTTAGCGTGTCAATTAACAAATAAACCATTTTGTATTATTTATTGTAATTTCGATACTTCAAAGTATTAAACGACAAATTTAGGTTGACATGTAATACAGTAGATTGTATCAACTTTACAAATTAGTCGGCTGACACTGTCAAAGAAGGTTCTTTCAATGTCATCAAAAAATTGACGTTAACTACCTATATTGTTTCTAAGTAAAAAAACGTTTTCTTAAAAGTAGAGATAAAAAGAATTCACAAACATGACTCATTCCATTCGTTAACGAAAACTGTTTATAGTTCCGAAGTAAATGTGCCTGTTCGAAAATGAAATAGAGTAGAGTCAATGGCGATATTTCGTTTAAAATTCGTTCGTTACCGAAATTTCGTTTCGGAGAAAGAGAGTAAAGCTCCTGTTGCGGCATATATAATAGGAAGTCCCAAAACTTTGCTACATGGAGGGAAAGTAGCTTAAATACTGTAGACAACGTGTTGCTAAAAGATGACTTCATTTTTATTGACTTCAATTAATTTAAATAAATCGCCTAATTGAACCGTAAGTCGAACCCGGTAAATTACCGGTAATTTTATTGTGTCTTTAGCATCTTGCAATATCTCTAGCGGGGCTAGTACCAAAAATCGGGCAACAGACGGCGTATAATTCCAAAGACATTAAAATGAAGAAAATTAATGGTTAAATAAAAATATAATTAAGGTTACTAACTAAGGCAGAGGCATTATAAGTACGTCTTTAGGGTTAAACGTTTCTGAATGATGGTTTTAACATAAAAGGCAACATCTTACAATTAGGTTTATACAAAGAATAATTTAGTCCGCGTTTTAGAATTTGTAATGCGATAAATGCAACTTGATTTATTTATTTTGTAATAATTTGTGAGTTTCTGCTATGCTGACATTATTTTATTCTAACGACAAATAATAACCTAATTTGGAAGAATATTATGGAATATTTTGTACTATAAAATAAAATTAGTATATAACCTTACGAAATGGTTCTTGAATTTAGCTGACTTGATATGAATGTTTTTGGCAAAACCACAGGAATACATTTACAGGTTCAGCATCATAATCTTTAATATGTAATATCACAAGAATAAAATAATGAAAATGTTTGAGTCTAGATTAAATATTTCTAAAAAACCTGTTCACCCTTCTCCATGCCCAAAATGAACTTTAAAAAAATGGTACAAAGGTTATCAGAATTCGTTATAGACAAAGGCTTCGTTCTACCAGGATTACTGTACCGATAATCTTTGACCATCCGTAATCTGGCATTGTCCAGCAGTGGCTTTGATAATACACGTCTAGATACCGTATTAACTACACGGAAGGGTCTCAAAAATATCTACTACATATGGTAGATATGCTCGTCGCTACACACGCACACATTTACTGCTTTCATACATTAACCATTTTCCTTGCGTGGTTTATTTGGATTGCTCTATATTATAGGCGTGTATATAATCAAAAAGCAGTAGATTACTGTCGGATGCTTATGCGAAATAACAACTCACCATGCCAGTTTCATCTAAAGGTTTAGCTGGTTCCTCGGTGTAACAATTTTTCTGTCTGGTGGTCGTGTTTGAACACACGCCATACCATATGCAGTGCCCCTCTGCCGTTGCTGACGGAACCTGCAAACAAAGAAATAAAATTAACAAATAAAGTGAAAGTACACGAATCATTCGATTCCGCGGTTATGTTTCGCAGCCATGCTACAGTAGACTACGGCCGAGGAATCTAGGCCGCTCTGAAGTCAGCCGTATGACAACGCATCGGATTTTTTAGGAATAAAATTATATCACGTTGAATTTACAACTAGGTTTGCCGAACGAGAAATGTAATCACTATTAAACGAGGATCCGTAAAGATTTAAGTTGAGAATGCATATTTATGGAGCTAAGGATTCCACAAAATAGTCGTTAAATTTTTGTTCTACGACAACTATTGACGAAGTTAGAATTTTCGGCTGTCACAGAGCTCTAGCGCTCGCGTGCGTAGAGACGCTACTGAAGTTCGGCCGGAGTAAACCACGATCGAGCTCTGTGACGTCACACGTTTCAGCAGCCGGTGAATATTGGCTACCATAAAATTGGTTATAAAATCGAAACGAATGAACCGTTTTCGATATATTTAAAAGTATTTTAAATTAAAAGCTCATTGGATAATTATAGTGTTGATTTTGAGTTGATTTGCCCACCTAGTAATGATCTTCATTGTTACTTGGAATGAGTTCGACCGTTTAATAATCTAAGATAACTTGCGCTATGTTCGATTGCTCCTAATGAAATACATATTAAAGTTTATTAAAAAAAAACAAAGCGAGTAAATGATGCCGTCAATATACTTAGGATTTTTTATTTCCCATTTTAGTGGCAGCATGAAATAAAACATCGAAAAATAAAGAACGGTGACTGCCGTCGCAGGATCACGCAGCGGCGATAATAATATTATGCTCTGCGCAAACGCTGAATTTGACTTTAAAATTGCTTTGTTCCATGAAATTGTTATCCGTTCCCAAAAAACTAAATTTGAAAGTTTTTGGGAGTCAACAATAACATTGAACTTATGATACTATATGCTTTACACGCATCCATATAAGATTCAAAATTCTCGATTCTCATGTTTAATGCATCACTACTGCAAACGTCACTATCTAATATTTATGCTATTCGGCAAACACGGAGAATCGAATAATGTTTATATGCTGTTCCGTTACGGTATTAACTTTAATAGAACTGGAATGGGGGCGACTCATGTTTAGGAAATGTTCTACGGGGATCTGAAATGAATATAAAATATAGAAATCCTAACAACAAATTGCATTATTTAGTTCTCTATCAGGAAAAAAGAAACATCAAACAAATATTTTCTATTATTAAGAGTTTATGAACAACGTTATCTTACAAATGGTAACTTAAATATTATTACAGCTGTATCTACATGATAATGCAACATATAATGTCTAGACAACAACAATGTTTATTACTCAATCTGTTTAATATTCAACAAAAATATATTAAAGGTCAATAAAATATTGAAGCACAATAACTATAGGTAACCAGTAAAACCAACAACAACGAAGCCACTGGCCAAGTTAGTTCTAAATTACTGGTTCCCGAAATTTCTTCACAGAGTTTCTTTAAAAAGAAAAAGACCCATCACGCACGACCCTATGTTGAAGCAAAGGTCAAAGAAATAAAGATTCATCTCAGTCTATTCAGCCAAAAATATGGGGAGAGAGCATAATACAGCTTTTAATGCTTTCATTTCTTTCAGAGTAACCAGCAAGAAACAGAGTATATGTTTTGCTGTAGAACCTAAAATATTTATGGAAATATTCCATTAACTCTATTCGTGTTATTGAAACGTTATAGGGTGCTCTGACCGCTTGAATACTGCGACATGAATACGGTTTAATTACCTTTCGTACCCTTTTTCGTACCGTTTTTGTAATTGATAGTAAACTTTTAAAAATCGTTTCAACCAATAGAAGTTAATAATTTTTACAAGCTTTTATTTGTTCAGTAGGTACATGCGCCCGGATAGCGAAACATGCGGATTCGAGTCCCGTCTGTTGACTTGACTTCGTGGAATTTATTCTAGGAAAATTTTCTTTAGATTTAAACATCCAGCAGTTAAATGCTTAAAAAATAACAATACAAGCTTTTATTTAACTTAGAATGTATATGTATATATTATTTTATGATGTGCGGTATTATTATTTCAGTAACTGCTGCTAGCCTGATATGCATAACGCCATTACACGGCAAAATGTCGTTATGTCTGTAGAAGCAGCCAGTATTAGATATTTGACATTTGTCAGAAATACGAATAAATGAGATGGCATTTTACACAATATGTACCTGGTAGCGATTTATGGAAATTAATAATGCGCCTATGTCCTATCAAAATTAGCAACTAGCATAACTGGAAATAACCAAAATTTATAAAAAAAATATCGAAAATGTTTAAATGAGGTACAACAAATTTTGAAAAAAAAAGTCGCTAATGACGTCATTACACATGTAATTAAAGCTGTCGCAGTGACCTTTAATCATCAAAAGACTTTAATAAAATTATAGGTAAGTGTGTTGGACTGACGGATCTTATTTTTATTCTTATTATTATAATATCTTAGATTTAGTAGATATCATTACACCACCTTATCTAAAACAATGCTTCTTTTTTCGATCATACTCTTCACAATGCATTCTACGCTCCTCTTTGAGATTAGTCTCACTCTCGAAATTCCTTGCCATTCGACTGATTTCCTTTCTTACTCCTACTCATCGTCATCACACACTCTGGACTCGTTCCGTGAGCAAGTTAAGCGTCATTTCCTATCTTTACTTTGAAAGTACCTTTTTCCTTTATTTATTTGTTTATTTTTTTTTCATATAAATATGCATCTATATTAATATTACCGATTTTATTTTATTTTATAATACTGCTCTTACACCCTTCCCCTTTTTTTTGTTCTTATATACTTATTTAATATTCCGTCATGGGTTGCCCGGAAGAGATTGCTATTAAGCAATAAGGCCGCCCATTGTGTAATGTCTCTCTGTCAGTGTAATCTTACTGTTATGTCCTTTGTGGTGTTATACAATAAAGAATATTATTATTATTTTTAAACCATTATTAACAAGTCCTTTTACAAATAATTAATATCAACCGAAACATGACCGATCACTAAATAAAATAGAAGGCATAACAAATCAACTAAGAATGACAAAGTCGAAAGTGGATTATTATTTATTTATTTCTTTCTCTTTTTACTTTTATGCTTTTATTTACTTATATTTCTTGAAAAACAATAAAGAGTAAATAAATAAATTAAATCGTATGTCAAGTAAAGATTCAAAAAGTTTAAGAGGCATACAACGATTAGTTAGTTATTGTTTCATTAACAATGGGTGATTTCAGTTCTATTAAAAGGAGCTAAGTTTTCCACTCGTCCATTACAAGAAACTGTGATGTTCACATACACAAACATGTAAACACGTAATCAGCGAATAAACAGGGATAAAGTTTCTGACCCCCTCAATAAACCACTTCGTATTACACTGACAATTGTGATACATACGTGAGTCATAATTGTTCGGAACAGAATAACGTATGAGTCAGTACCCACGGTGCTTCCTACTAGTGTACCTTGCAATTCGATATACACGACAATTTTGTGTAAATATTATCTTACATCAAAATTAAGAATAAAAACCTTTAATTCCAAGAGATAGAGATAAAATTAAAACTTCCTCGACTGAAGAAACTTTGTCGCCTCTTTAAATTCATCAATCGCATGCATGCCAATCAGTTTTGGATCATATCAAGTTATCCTTCTTGAGAACATCACTCTTATCATCCTTCAAATGTTCCATATTCAAGGTGTCAATAATCTGGTTCCTAATCGACCTTTATGAACCCATCTAAAGAAAACGGGGGAGTTGTTATACGGGCACCTTTTACGAATTAATTAATCAATAAAAGTAGACAAGTACCCTCAATGCGGGCGTTTGTCGCCAACCAAATATAATACGAACAGATTATTGTTGACAAGTATTTACTAAAGCTCGCCTTGTTAATACTGGTGTTGCAAGAGTCTCGGCTCCTGATCATATCCAACGTTAAAAAGATATGTTTTGTGTAATAACGAATAAAAATGGGTTTTCGAAACATAACAAGTAAAGAAGTGGTCCGCGTGGATTTTTTTCTAGTAAAATTTTCTTTAGATTTATACATCTAGCAGTTAAATGTTAAAAAAATAAAGATATCACTATAAATAGCAAGTAATAAAAAAACTGTGTTCATAGTTGAATAGAAAACCTAGAACTAAATAAAAACCATCGACCTAACGCGCCATCAGAAGCTCAGGGGGCCATTCGCCTAACGGAAATGCTTTGGAAAACGCTAACGCTTTCGATTTTATTTTGTTATTTCTAACCGCCGAAGGTTTTCAAATACCTCACGCTCATTTTTTAATATTGTTATTACCAATGCAAAAGAAAAAAAGAGCGCGAGGCATTTGAAAACCTCAGGCGGCTAGAAATAACAAAATGAAATCATAAGCGTTAGCGTTTTCCAAAGCATTTCCATTAGGCGAATGGCCCCCAGATTTGCTGTAGGTCAAACAACCCGTGACCGACATCTTTCTTTCACAGGCGTTAACCGAAGTTACCACCCTACTGCTCTCAAAGATATTGTATTACATTTCATCAAGGTTGTTGAACTGTGCGATACATACAACTATAAAGTAAAACTTAAGTAGAATGTAACTTTAGAAGCTACAAACACTTACAGCATTGGTCGAGCTAACTCGTTGTATTTTTTGCTATTCTCTGCATTGTCTTTCACTTATTATCTTAATCCATCGTGAGTGATCGATACCACATTATAAATAGATAATACATCACAATCAAACAAACGGTGGGGAGTGAGAGGTTGAAATCTGACTGAAGGTGCCTAGTGTGAAGAAGACCATGCTTAGACCGACTCCCAGGAAACAACTGGATGACTTTGTCAAAAATAACTCTCAAAAGAGATAACTTAAAATTCTATCGTTAAAGAATACTTTTTGTTACGTTGTGATCTTAGTAATCACAAATAGTAACTTATTGATACAGTGTTGAAC